TGTCCCCAGGATGCGCCCCCCACCAGTCGACTAACACCCAGGTACCTATTTGCTGCTAGGTGAACAGGACAACAGGTGTAAGGAAACGTGTCGAAATGTTTCCACCGGCCGGAATCGGAACCCGGCCCTCCGGGTGTGTGAGGGTGTGTGTGCGGGTGTGTGTGAGGGTGTGTGTGTGTGTGTGTGTGTTTTGTGTGTGTGTGTGTGTGTGTGCGTGTGGTGGGTGTGTGTGTGCGTGTGTGGGTGTGTGTGTGCGTGTGTGTGGTGGGGTGTGTGGGTGTGTGTGAGGGGGGTGTGTGTGGGTGTGTGTGAGGGTGTGTGTGTGGGTGTTGGTGGGGTTGTTGTGTGGGGTGTGTGTGTGTGGGTGTGCGTCCTTGTGTGTATGCATATATTTGTACGCTCGTGTGCACTGTCCTGCGTGCGCCCGTGTGTGTATGTGCGCGCGCGCGCTAGTGTGGGTGTATGATCCACTTAATATTTGTATTTATAACTCATTACAATTGTGACCAGGTGTGGACGTATCAGTGGTTCATTACTTGTAATTTGTTCATGACTGTACCATGTATAGGATTTGAAGCTGATTCATTACCTCTGTAACTTGCCATGATTGTGACCAGATCTACCTGGAGTTCATTACCTTTGTAACTAGTTCAGTATCATAACTTTGGGGTCCAGTCACTGGACCCATTATGTACCTTTGTAATCTTTTGACTACCCCCACAGGATGGGTATGGGGTGCATAATAAAGATATTAAACTAAAGTGTGTGTTGTGTGTGTACTCACCTATTTGTGGTTGCAGGGGTCGAGTCCTAGCTCCTGGCCCCGTGTGTGTGTTGTGTGTGTGTGTGTGTGTGTGTGTGTGTTGTGTGTGTGTGTGTGTGTTGGGTGTGGTGTGTGTGTGTGTGTGTGGTGTGTGTGGTGTGTGTGTGACTCAACAATCAATATTTGCACCAATAACTCATTACAGTTGTGCCGGGTGTGGAAGTGTGAATTGCTCATTACTCTAAAATTTTGTTCATGATTGTAGCATGTATAAACGTAAGTAACCATTCTACAGAATTCATTACCTTTGAAAACTTGTAAAGCCCCATTACCTTTGTACCTAGTTCAGCTATCCAAAACTTTGGGGGCCCAGTCCCTGGACCCATTACGTACCTCTGTAATCTGTAAAATACCTTTGAAACTTCTCATGATTGTGACCAGCCTACCTGGAGTTCATTACCTTTGTAAATTGTGAGTTCATTACCTTTGTAAATTGTGAGTTCATTACCTTTGTAAATTGTGAGTTCATTACCTTTGTAAATTGTGAGTTCATTACCTCTGTAACTTGCTCAGCTATCAAAACTTTGGAGTCCAGTCCCTGGACCAATTATGTACCTCTGTAATCTTTTGACTACCGCCCACAGGATGGGTATGGGGTGCATAATAAACATATTAAACTAACTCCACGAGACTGACTTCTTTCGTGATTGCTACATCTTCAAGTATTCTCCACTGCTAAGTAGTTAGTAGACAGTTATTATGCAGGGAGCTACTACCCTCCTATAATGCAAGTGTGAAACGGAAGCATGTTAAATGTTTTGCACTCTGGGAGTATTGTTGTTCTTTTCTTCCATTTTCATAAATGCAATTCTTACACACTCCTACTTACATTCATTGTTCATTTATCTTTATTATAATTTATCTTTATTTTCATTACATTCACTACTCATTTATGTATGATGTATAATGAATGTAACTACATTCATTATACATCTACATTCATTATACAGTTTATTTATTTTCCTTTACATTTAATAGTTACTAGACCGGGAACATTTCCTTTCCAATTTAGGAAGCCTAGCTTGAACCCGGGCCGCGAGCGCCATGATACTTGGAATGAATACCAATTGTTTGTGTGTGCCTGTGAGAGAGAGAGAGAGAGAAAAGAGAGAGGGGAGAGAGAGAGAGAGAGACAGACAGACAGACAGACAGACAGACAGAGAAAGACAGAGGGAGAGAGAAAGAGCATCAGGTAGAGTGGGTTCCAAAACCTGGTGGTCCTTGATCAAGGACCTAAAGAAATCATTCCACCTCGAAGTCGGCAGGATAAGACTATCTTTATTAGCACTCAGGAGAAAGTTGACCACTTTGCCGAACACTTTTCTGCCAAGATACAAGTTCTTCGTCCAGCAAGGGAACTCTTTTGATAGCCGCAAGAACTATGTCAGAGTTGTCAGTAGTGGTAATAAGGCTGTGGGCCCAAATAAGGGGAGCCCAAGATTGCCATGTAGATTTGCAGGTCAGCTAGCGTCACCTCTAACTCGCATCTATCACCATTGCCTAGCACAGTGTAAATGGCCTTTTCTGTGGAAAGAGGAAATGTAGTCCCTGTTCACACACACACACACACACACACACACACACACACACCACACAACACACACACCACACACACACACACAACACACACACACACACACACACAAATAAAAGCAGGGAGAAAATCAGCAACTACAGAACAGTGTCACTCCTGTCAATCACTGGCAATGACAGCGTTTTTCGACTACAGCTCGCTTTAAGACCGTCAGTATGGCTTCAGAAAAGGCCACTGTCTCCCCTCTATCCCTCCTGTCCTCCAGAGTCGTCAGGTCGATTTCACTTATCTTCTCCTCGTAGGACATACCCCTTAGCTCCGGGGCTAGTCTTGTTGCGAACCTTTGTACTTTCTCTAATTTCTTGACGTGCTTGACCAGCTGTGGGTTCCATACTAGTGCTGCATACTCAAATATGGGCTACACTAGGCTCCACTCCGCCGACAGCGAGAAGTGAACTTCTACACAACAAGGCGAGTAGCAAGCAGCAACTACACTCTAGCTGTACCTTTCTCAAGAACATCACTTCATCCCAGATAATTCATTCCCAGAATGACTCTAGTCTGGAACATGTTCGTACAGCATAATGACATCCATGAAATAAAATCATTTGACCAAATGAAAGTTCTGGCACAGATGGCTGGAGCTATCTGTGTGCTCATTACAATAATAAGGCTTTAAAATGAGCTGATGTATGTAACAGCACTTAGTTTGTAAATAAAGTTAGAAACCCATAACCTAACCTTCTAAAACTCTGTAAAAAAAGAGTGAGGAAGGGACGGAGGAAGGGAGGGGGGAGGGAAAGATATAAAGGGAGAGAGACTGGCAAGTCACTTATGTGGCATTTGCTGATAGGGTCTTTATTTTTTCGTGCATGACTGAAGACTATTTGCTCAGGAAAGGTCAGTCATTGACCTGGTACTAGTGTTGGCTGGCTTCCCCAGAGTAAAGAGAGATCATTGAACACAGTCAGTCTCTCCCAAAACTGGACTTGAGTGTAGAGCCCATGACCCTGGACCTGGAGTTTGAGGTCACACACACACACACACGCATACACACACACACACGCACACACACATAGAGGACATGCAAGGAGGTTACCGGGCCACGATCTACTTCTGGAGGCGTGAGTGAATCTCTCCCTGGTCCACGTCCAGTATTGAGGCTGCACCAGTAGTTTGTGTTCCTGCTACCATCAAAGGGTGAGTGAGGTGATTCTCTACTGGTCCAGATTTGTGGTTGTACCAGTAATTCATGTTTTTTCTCCCACCGACGAGACATGAGTGAGGTGAGTCTCTCCCGGTCCATATGTGTGATGTGAGTCTCCGCAGGTTAGTAGCTCCATCGGTAGTTTATGTCACTGCTATCCATCAACTTTACTGAACAATCACTGCTGGAGTTAGGTCTACTAACTGCAACGGTAACTCAGTATACAACGAGAACTCAAATCACCTCAGTTGTCCTACTGCAGAATAGGTGATATTTTCATCGTCCTACTCATGTATGCAGCGCATCCCTTAAGAAAACATAGCTTTTGTTTTTAATAAAATAACACAAAGCTGATTTATCATATTTTATTAAACAAGCTATGTTGCACCACTATTGTGGCTTGTTTATTTGCTAGTGATTTTTATGGTTAGGTACGTGATAGAAATGGGAGAGCTGGGGAAAGGTGGGAAGCTGATGGGAATTGGTGAGGATGGGAATGGGTTGGGAGGGGAAAGGGAGGGGAGGGATGGGGAAAGCCAGGGGTAGAAAAGGGGGCGGCGCTAGAGTGGTTAATGTGAGATAAAGATGTAGGTCTGGTCGCTAGAGCAAGCTCAGTCTCAAGTTAGCTCGGTGGAACCATACACAAACAGCGGGAGTCTTGCGTTGTTACGAGAAGTTGGTGCCTCGTAGGGCAGTGGTAGTACGTTCGGCTCACAACCAAAAGTACCTGGGAGAGGTGGGGCGTATGGAAAGTTTCCGAAACCAACTGCCCTGTTAACTGGCAGTAAATAAGTACCTAGAAGTTGCTTGACTCTTGTAGGTCGCATTCTCATGAAACTTAAAATGTTCCAAATGTAAATAAGCCACACTGCTTGGCTTTCTTGGACTAACAGTTTTCCGGAGTTAATAATCCCAACAAAGTCTTCTTCTATAGAGTTAGTGGGAGTGGAGTCATGTTGTGCCAGTGTCAACACTGTGGTGGAAGCTCTGTACTTAGTTCACCCACTACTTCCCTCCCTGACCACACACAAGCACCACTATCCGTCGCTCATTAACAATAACCATCGAATTTCTAATGATGTATCTTGCCCCGATGGGACTGGCACCCACAGTGAAATAGTGACTTTTGTGAACAAAAACTGGGAGTATGGTGTATTTGAGGTCCTGATACCAGTGTGCATAGCTGACAAGGTGCTGTTGACACAAGTGACTTTCTGGAGCCTCACTGCCATATTAACACAAGTGAATTATCATCACTCACTCGGATCATAAAAATGTTTCAGTATTTACTTCTTGGTATCATACAAATTTCCGGTTATCAGGTAAGAGTTGTTTATAGTTTGTAGTTTTGTACCGTGACACATAATAGGATGTTTTGATTTGGTCGGGAAATCTACTTAATATTATCGTGAATGTTGTAATTTATATTGAAGATAATGTAATCCTGATGAACTACAGATAATGTCTTGTTATTTACAGATGTCTGCCGTCAGGATACAGAGTTTGAGGTGAGACATGTTAAGATCCCGACCTTTCTTCTTCAGCTGGGGAGAGTAATAACATGATGGTAACGTGATTCACAGGTGTCATGATACAATAGGTGACGTGGAAAATACTGTATATATTTTCCGGAAATACGGTAATTTATAGGTAAATAGATGCCCTATATTGTATTTTTAAAAGAAGTATGTTATCGAAAATGGGAAACCTGCGGCTGGGGAGGGGACTCGCCATCTTGGTTTTGAATTGAATAGAACGTTAGTGTAATGGAAAGAATTCTTCGTGCTCTAGAGGTTAAAATTGTGTTGACACCTCTCAAATAGGAGGCGAAATTGGTGGATGTGCATTCCTGCATAACTTGAGACATCAGACGACTGGACAAGACAGCTCCAGGAGCCTCAGATAAGCTCTCTAAATTTGTGTGTAATTCTGGCCAGCATTATTTTCATAGATTTAGTTAGAGTGAGGTTTTCTGAGTATGATACACATTAATCTCCAGTCAAATTGGTGAGTGATATTAAGATATATTTTCTTTCTGTTATGTAATTGTGTATATCTATAATTATTCTTTAATTTTTAATATACAGTCCACAAATTTATATATTTACCAGTATTCCTAGTGTATGTATATTTCATTTAATTAATAGGTCCAGAGCAACTTGTGGATATGACAGTGGTAAGTATCGAAGGGGGACATTTTTGCGACCTAGGTGTCCCAAATTCCTACTTGTCTATGTAACTCTGATAAATAATAATTATCTTTGTTATCATTTTCTGTAATGTATATAATGAGTTACATTCAGATATATGCAATTTTCCACAGGTGACATGATACAATAGGTGGCATAATACATTGGGTGGCATGATACAGTGACATGATACAGCAGGAAATATGATGCAGTAGGTGACACGATCCAGCAGGTGACACGATACAGTAGGTGACATGATACAACAGGTGATATGATGAAACAAGTGACATGATACTACTTAATCGCCATGGGTTCTAACTCCACCATACCCTCGTTTGTTTTCAATTGTGGTCTTACGATTTCATGAGTAGTGTGTATACTCCTTGATGCTTGTGAAGTCTCTTGATCCAACCTGATTATATCTCTTTCCGCAGGAGCTATAAATCCATACGCGCTGCCATGATTGTTATAATGATGTGTATGCTGATTTTTGTTTAGATTTTAATAATAAGTGAATATAAATATTTTTATTGTTCCCCCAGCTGGGTGTGTCGGGGGGAGGGGAGGTTCCCCCACCCACTGGAGTGTGGAAGCTATGTGGAGTGTGTTGGATTGGGCGGCGGCCTCTTCCCCCGCCTTAACACCTGCCCAGGAGGGGCCTACAACCCTCACACAGGCAGGTGTACCGCCAGTGAACAGGTGTGTAATTGTTGTAGATAAATGTTTTTCCGCTGTGATCATCTCGCCACTTTTGTCACAAAACGCGCGCGCGCGCACACACACACACAACACACACACACACACACACACAACCCACACACACCACACACACACACACACACACACCACACCACACACAATACACGAAAGCCCCTGTATATGCAGACATTTCGTATATGGTGTCGATCACCGTTTTGGCGAGTACACACCTCACCACTGAGTACACACAGAGATCTGTGGTGATAAAGTACCCGTGTATCTATGTTGAGTTTGCAGGTTCGAATCCTCTGTGGACCATAGATAAAAGTTAACGCGGGCAGGAGGAATGGATAGTAGGACCACAAGAAATAGGGTCAGGACTTTTGCTCGATCCCTGCAACAAAAACAATTTAGTACACACGCATACGAAATGCTCTGCATATATAGGGCTTTCGGCATGAACATTCAAATGTCATTTTCCTTTTTTACAAAAATTGTTCATCGAAATAAATATTATCATTATCATACACACACACAACAACACCACATACAACACCACACTCACACACCACACACACACACTGCAAGGACCAGACAGTTTTGACATATGCAACATCCGGGAACTTATGTGAAAACATTTTTCCAACCTGGGTTTTATCAGTTCATTAAATAGATATTTTTCTGAGATTAGAAATGAGGTAATTAGTCCTCAGCCTTTATAGACTCACAAAAAACCCAGGCATTGCACATATGTCTTATTTATCAACTTACGTATTTGAAAACCAACGTAATGATACCGAATTTTGGACAGCTTACCCGTACCTACACTTCGCTATGATTCCTCACAAAATTTATCTCTTGGCTAGTCTTGGCTTCATTGGGATACAAACATGCCCTTGGATGTAGATAAAAATGCATTTTTCATAGAAAGTATCTGTTCAAATGTTGTTTTTAAATAATCTTATCCGATCAAGTATTAAGATCGACCGAGTTTTGAAATTATTTTATAACATGGTTTTGGTTAAACTAATGAGAAAAAATATTCACTTTTGTACGTTGGCTACGTGGGCCATCAGTAACAACCTGATGACAGGCCTAAATCCACCGGGGGGCCGGGCAAGGACTGGGCCGCGGGGGCTTGGACCCCGGAACTCCCCCAGTAGGTAGACTCCTTTAATTATATTTAGGCTGCTTGACAATGCTTAACTTTACCGGGCAAGATAATTGTGCAAAGAATAATTCTCTTTACAGGCTCCCTGTGCAGGTTCGCAGGCCGGACGCCCAGTTTAAAACAAGAGATGGGAGAAGTTTGTCCTTATCTGACTCCGCCCCCCTTCCAACAAACCCGTACCTCCCCCTCACACGACTGCTCTGCCTGGGTGACCTGGTTCGCCTGCGCCTCTTGATCAGACTGTGGTGTGTGCAGAGGTCGGCCTTCATGTACCCCTTTGCCCGTCTGCCACACGCCCGCATCAATACCCCAGTTTTCTGGGCTGTGTGTTACCCAACGTCACCTGTAACCACTGTGGTGTGAATGACGGTGACAAGTCTTGAGATCCCTAAAACCTTTGCAACTAAACTCTTCTGCAAGCTTTAAAAGGGAGCGACCCTAAAGTGATTTCCCTGCCTGAAGTTTCAGCTTTTGATGAGACACCAAGAAGTGTGTACAGCCCCTCTAACTCCCATGTGAGGTCCCAGGCAATTTTCCTGCCTAAAAGTGCCGATGTTTCTTAACTGTTCCGGACGGGTCCGGCGGATGGAAGCAGCAACAGGGCATGTGCCCCAACCAACACCAGGTATACAGTCAGGAGTTGGGAAGGTGCAGCGACCCCGACGCCATCCCTCGGGATGACCCTTGCAGCGCCAGAGACAAAGTCGTGTCTCATTATACTTGCACTTTTTGGCAGCTTCTTTTCGTTGTGTTCTTCCCGCACAAGATAGCCACCATCTGCTCCTCCCAAGGTTCACGCTCTTTGTTGCATTCGTAGTGACACACACACACACACACCCTGGACACATCTCCTGAGGAGCACAACCAAGTAACTGCTGCGGCATACGGGCGACTGGTAAACCTAAGAACAGCATTCCGACATCTCAGTAGGAAGTCGTTCAGGACTCTGTACACCGCGTACATCAGGTTCATATTGGAGTATGCAGCACCAGTTTGGAGCCACACCTGGCCAAGCACGTCAGGAGATAATGTCCCGGAGTTAAGGGGCATGTCTTACGAGGAGAGGTTAAGGGAAATCGACCTGGCGACACTGGAGGACAGGAGGGACATGATAACAATATATAAAATACTGAGAGGAATCGACAAGGTGGACAGGGACAGGATGTTTCAGAAACTGGACACACCAACAATGGGTCACAATTGGAAGTTGAAGAATCAGATGAGTCACAGGGATGTCAGGAAGGATTTCTTCAGTCACAGAGTTGTCAGTTAGTTTAATATGTTTATTATGCACCCCATACCCATCCTGTGGGCGGTAGTCAAAAGATTACAGAGGTACATAATTGGTCCAGGGACTGGACTCCAAAGTTTTGATAGCTGAGCAAGTTACAGAGGTAATGAATTCACAATTTACAAAGGTAATGAACTCACAATTTACAAAGGTAATGAACTCCAGGTAGGTCTAGTCACAATCATGACAAGTTACAAAGGTATTTACAGATTACAGAGGTACGTAATGGGTCCAGGGACTGGGCTCCCAAAGTTGTGATGGCTGAACTAGGTACAAGGTAATGAACTCACAAGTTACAAAGGTAATGAATCCTGTAAGAATGGTTACTTACGTTTATACATGGCTACAATCATGAACAAATTATAGTGTAATGAGCAATTCACACCCGGTCACAACTGTAGTGAGTTATTGGTGCAAATATTGATTGTTGAGACACACACACACACACATATATACAAATTCATACACACACACATAAACACACACACACACACATACACAAACTCATACACACACGCACACACATCACACACACACACACACTCATACACACACACACTCATACACACACACTCATATGCACTCATACACATACACACGCACACACAAACACACACACACACAGGAGCTTGGACTCGACCCCTGCAATCTCAACTAGGTGAGTGCACACACACACACACACACACACACACACACACACACACACATGTGGTAATGCTTTATTTACAGCTAGCAAAGTCAGGGTATTTCTCCAGAATGGTCTGCAATATACCACTGTGGATAAAGTACTTTGCCATTTCTTGAACATTTCTGAGCGAGTTGTTTCTAAATTCATTAATTTGATCACACTCCAGTACATAATGACGCAGGGTGTGACAATAGTCCATCTGGCAAAGTTTACATTTCGTTTGGTCTACATCTGGTGGTGGTGATTTAACCTGCCAAAGATACTTGTAACCCAGCCGGAGCCGGGCAGTAGTGACATCCAAGAGTCTGCTTATTTTGTTGGATGCACCATAGACATGTCAGGAAGTGGAATAGTCTGGAAAGGGAGGTGGTTTACCTGGAGAGAGTTCCGGGGGTCAACGCCCCCGCGGCCCGGTCTGTGACCAGGCCTCCTTAGGTCAGTGTCCCAGGATGCGACCCACACCAGTCGACTAACACCCAGGTACCCATTTTACTGATGGGGAACATAGACAACAGGTTGAAAGAAACACGTCCAATGTTTCTACTCTGGCTGGGAATCGAACCCAGGCCCTCACCGTGTGAAGCGAGAGCGTTAACCACCAGAGCCCTGGTGGTGGAGGCAGAATCCATACATAGCTTTAAAAAGAGGTATGATAAATGCTCACGGAGCAGGGAGTGACCTAGTAGTGACTAGTGAAGAGGCGGGGCTAGGAGTTATGACTCGACCCCTTCAACCACAGTTAGGTGAGTACTCCGTCATGGAGAAGAGAGTGGACCTAGTAGTGACCAGCAAAGATGCGGGGTCAGGAGCTATGAATCGACCCCTACAACCACAAATAGATGAGTACACATAAACACACACACACACACCACACACACACTGGACATGAATCGACCCTTGCAACCACAATTATGTGAGTATACACAAACTCGGGGCTGTGACTCGACCCCTCCCCTATATAGGTGAGTACACACGAAATAAAGGTACACAGTCCTAAGGAACACAGTGTTAAGATAGACATATTTAAGGTACATAGGGTTAAGATACACAGTGTTTAAGGTACACAGTGTTTAAGGTACACAGTGTTTAAGGTACACAGTGTTACGGTACACAATATTAAGGAACACAGTGTCAAGGTACATGGGGTAAAAGTACACAGAGCTAAGGTACATAGGGTTAAGGTACACAGTGTTAAGGTACACAGTGTTAAGGTACATAGGGTTAAGGTACACCGTGTTATAGAACAATGTTAAGGTACACAGTATTAAGGAACACAGTGTAAAGGTACACAGTGTTAATTAATATCTTTATTTACTACAAGTACAAGGTATACAGTCCTAGCTGACGTCAGTGACATGCTACTATATAGAAAGCCGCTTGTTATGCAGAGCATTTCTTGCAAATTAGGTCAGTTTTGTCCCAGGATGCGACCCATACCAGTCAACTAACACCCAGGTACCCATTTTACTGATGGTTGAACATTTGCATTCCGTTTGCATTCCACCTTAGTCATGTCCAAGATCCGATTCATCACCAAGGTCTTTACCTGTGCCTTGGTGCCTTTCGTTCGTCCCCTGTTGAGAGCCTCTATACAGCGGCTAATTTTCCATCCTTGTCTGATCACCGTGATGCTCATTGCCTTCGCTATTATGTTTGATCCCATGACCTCTACAATCCTTCTGTATATAGGATAGTCACTGATGTTAGTAAAAGTTCTTTATTTGTTCGTCACCCCTGTTTACTCCGTCCCTTTTCTCTCCGCCTGCATTCGCTCTTGTCTTCTCTTCAGTTACCACCTCTCTATGTTCATGTAGTCTCTCACTTTTCCCTACCCTCTTGGGAAGTTCCGGCTGTTCGTGTCTGTTCTTTCCCACTGCCATGTGCGAAAACCCAACTACCTGTGGTTGAACACTTCCGCTCTCATTCTCATGCTATCCCAGTGTACACCGATGGTTCTAAGTCTTCTTATGGCGTCAGATTTGCAGCAGTGTTTCCGGATGTCGTGCGATGGCATTTATTACCCTCGGCTAGCATTTTTACGGCTGAATTGTATGCCATTCTTGTAGCACTTCTCCGTATTGCATCTATGCCTGTGTCACCATTTGTGGTCGTTTCAGATTCCCTTAGTGCTTTACAGGCTATACGGAAATTTGATATACCTCACCCCCTAGTTTTTCGTGTCCAACTTTGGTTATGCCGTATCTAGCAAACACGGAGATATTTTTTTTTGCTGGGTCCCTGGTCATGTTGACGTACAGGGCAATGAATAGGCAGACACTGCTGTACGGTCAGCAGTACGTGACCTCCCAGTTTCATATAAGTGTTCCATTCACGGACTATTTTGCTGTAATTGCTACCCATCTTCGTACCCGTTGGCAACAACATTGGTCTGATCTGCTCCATAACAAACTTCATTTTGTTAAGTATAGGTTTCTGGCCGTCTTCTTGTCATCGGTGTCGAGGTTGGGAGACTACTCTCCCGTCTTCGCATCGGCCACACTCCTCATGGAGAGGCGTCCTGTTCCTTTCTGTGAGAATTGTCATGTTCCAGTATCTGTTATCCACATTCTGTTGGACTGTCCACTCTATCAACGAGCACGCAGAATTTACCTTCAACGTCGTCTCCGCTCTGCTGCCCTTCCTTACCTTCCCTTCTTGGTGACGGACCCTCCTTTAATCCAGACTCTCATTGCCTTTTTGACAGCAACTGATTTACTACACAAACTTTGATGATGTCTCTGGCACTCTTCTCAGTCCTTTCCACCTTCATCTCTAGCTACCCTCTACCCCTGTACTATCCTCTACCCCTGTACTATCCTCTACCCCTGTACTATCCTCTACCCCTGTACTATCCTACCCGATATCTTACCCCTGTACTATCCTCTACCCCTGTACTATCCTCTACCCCTGTACTATCCTCTACCCCTGTACTATCCTCTACCCCTGCAATATCCTCTACCCCTGCACTATCCTCTACCCCTGTACTATCCTCTACCCTGCACTATCCTCTACCCCTGCACTATCCTCTACCCCTGCACTATCCTCTACCCCTGCACTATCCTCTACCCCTGCACTATCCTCTACCCCTGTACTACCTTCTACCCCTGCACTATCCTCTTCCCTGCACTATCCTCTACCCCTGCACTATCCTCTACCCCTGCACTATCCTCTACCCCTGCACTATCCTCTACCCCTGCACTATCCTCTACCCCTGTACTACCCTCTACCCCTGCACTATCCTCTACCCCTGCACTATCCTCTACCCCTGCACTATCCTCTACCCTGTACTACCCTCTACCCTGCACTATCCTCTACCCCTGCACTATCCTCTACCCCTGCACTATCCTCTACCCCTGTACTACCCTCTACCCCTGCACTATCCTCTACCCCTGTACTACCCTCTACCTCTGCACTATCCTCTACCCCTGCACTATCCTCTACCCCTGCACTATCCTCTACCCCTGCACTATCCTCTACCCCTGCACTATCCTCTACCCCTGCACTATCCTCTACCCCTGCACTATCCTCTACCCCTGCACTATCCTCTACCCCTGTACTATCCTCTACCCCTGCACTATCCTCTACCCCTGCACTATCCTCTACCACTGCTCCGCTGCACTTCAATACCTAATAATCATCCCTTTCCCTCGTACTACCCATTACCCCTGCATCCTTCCCTGCCCTGCTGCACTCTATAACCCTTGTGGTTTAGCGCTTCTTTCTGATTATAATAATAATAATAAGGTACATAGTGTTAAAAAACAGTTTTAAGGGGCCGTCGGTTAAAAAATTGTAGCTCCTTTGTTTACCGTCCGATTTCCTCCAGTTTTGGTGCACAAAACAAAGTGTTTTCACTCTTTGTTAAAAATATTTATCAAAAATATACCTCAAACAACAACTGAGAAAACACTGTAAAAGGACTGATTTACTGAAAATGCCCTTTGGGGGCGATTTATTCCTATATGGGAGACGTAAGGTTGTTTGGACACTTGGTGCCGAGAGAACAATGCTTATACGTATTATATAAGCTACCTGTCCTCTAATATAACTTATCTTTATTTCACAAAAAATAAAGTTTGTTAGTTCTTGGAATGTTGCAAAAAATCTGCCCTTTACTCCCACATAACTCCCAAAGTATTTGGAATATTTCTAAAAATTGAGCAGTCTTAATTAGAGAAATCATTATTCTACAATTTCTGTGAATATTATTCCATTTAATTAAGTAATAAAGGCAGAACGATGTACCATAAGTGAATAAGTTACTTCCGAGATATTGGCCTGGAGCGCCGGCCGGCCCGCCGTCTCGATTTTTTTTTTTCGCGAAAATCGTGTTTGTTTGGGTGTATTTCTTAGTGAACTGATGTTCTAGCGCAATTATCCTCTTCAAAATACCGTTTTCTCTTACTCAGAGACCAAAGAATACGACATGAGAGGATTCACTCATTTATATAGAAATATTCAAGATGGTCTCGCCATATTATGGCTTATTTTATTCAGTCTAGAGTATATAACATGTTTGTATGTTATTTATAGTGTTTATTATATCATATTAGATCAATTCTGATAGATAAATAAGCCGTAGAGTTGATATATAAGCTGATATAAGCGTAATAATGAAGTGATTTCTCCTGGCACTTTCTGGAGCCGAGCGTTCCCATATGGTGCCTGGTTGGCTCTAAGTCTATGGATAAGCTCCGCCTACTGTTTTATGATGCCAAATAGTCAGTTATTATATTAGAAAGAATAATGCAAGAAAAAGCGATAAAAAACAAGGAAAAAATTCCGAAAAATATATTGGCTGTGAGCAGACGCGCTACCCACATCGCCGTCACCATACCTGATATAAATGACTATAATTTCTTGTAGAAACGTCGTAGAACATTCATTCTGGTACCATTGTGTTGCCAAAAGTGTTAAGGTACACAGTATTAACGTACACAGTGTTAAGGTACACAGTATTAACGTACACAGTGTTAAGGTACACAGTTAAGGTTCACATTGTTAATTCAATTCAATTCAATTCAATTCAAAGTTTATTCTCTATAAGGATTACAATGCTGAGTTTACAGAATTTGGTTATTGTGTGGTTTACAAATTCAAAGTTTATTCTCTATAAAGATTACAATGTTGAATTTACAGAATTTGGTTATTGTGTGGTTTACATGAAGTTAAATAATGATTACAGAGTGTACCACTAGAACGCCTAGCATGGCTAGGCACTACAGAGTGTACCACTAGAACGCCTAGCATGGCTAGGCATTTCGGGCAGACTTAGTTTAATCTTTATTTTAAAATATTACAAATTATGAGGTAAGTTGGTATTATGGCTAAGTGACTAAATACTAGTTTGTGAGTTTAGCAATGTGAATGCTTTTGTTTTGGCACAGTACATAGTTTCAGTATTGGAGTATCATAGGATTCATTATTTTGAGATTGAGATTAATATTTCTGTTTATGGTCAAATGGGTGAGTGAGTGTAAGTGTGAACCACCAGGTGGTATTCGTGTAGTTAGTTGACGGGGTGTATCAGGGAGATAAGATGTTTTCTAATGGTAGTTTTGAAGGTGATGAATGTGTCTGCAGTTCTAGAGTTCTCAGGTA